CACACACACACAGAGCCCCACACACAAACTCTCTCTGTATAATCTACTCACCAGTCTGGCCCTTGCCCAGCGTTTTCTCCAGTCGGTAGGGCCCCACGTACAGTTCATCCTTGTGAGCGTGTGACATCTTCCCCTTGGTCAGTGGGCTCATGTAGGGGCAAAGTCGTCGGATAATCCCCCAGGGAACGCCTCCGAGGGCGCGCGTGGTCTCCTTCCAGGTGAGCGAGAACGAGTCCCCTGATGACTCACACAAGTGCTTCGCGGAAACGACCACAATTAATGCTTGGCGTAAAAAAGATCACGATGCTCCACGGAAAAGATCTCGATGCTACGCGGAACTGGTCGTCACTCCGGTGTAAGAATGTTGGCGATTTGGGGTGGGGTGGGAGGGAGGGGACTTAAACGACGAAAGAAATCATCCTGCAAAAGCAGCACACGCACAACAACACGTCATGTTCAGAAACCGCCTCACTGGAATGTCAGCAGATGTACCCGAAATATTTTTTAAAATCCGTTGTTCCTCGCGTAAATAAGATGTAACTATCCAAGGTAATCCTTCCTTCGATGACGCACGTACGTATGTATCCAAGATGGCTGATATCCGTATATCCCCAGGATAAATCCTCTAGGCTGTCTTGTCCAGGATCACCAGCGATGATGATGATGACGAACCCTGCACAGGTTCCGAAGCTTCATGGCAGCAGCTGATGGAACTCGACGCTGGGCACAAAGTAGACAGAGAAGAAACCCGAGCGTAAAGAAGAAGGGTTGCACTGTCGTGTTTGAGAAACCTGCAGCAAGGCAAAGATGTCCTGGCATCTAGTCTAATTTAGCATCGTGCCTCCTAAAACAAAGAGAAAAGAATAGGGTTAGGATATTCAGAAAGAAAAAAACAAACAAAAGGAAAAAAAAAACCCCCCAAAAAACATCAAGCAAACAATGTTTGTTTTCGAAAGGTTTTACGGCGCTCGCAACTACATTAGCAGGTCATATGAGCGCCAAGGGGTGGATGTGAACATAGAACTCCAAACAGGGAATCAGGCTTACTCTGCTCACCTCTCTAGCCTCAACACTCAACAGCACAAAGTCTGCTTCGACTATCAAGGCACCCTGGAAATAGCGGGTCACAAGAGAGTGACAAACACACAAAAGAAGTACAGGGGAAAATGACGACAGTAAGGATGAGGAAAGAAAAATGAGCTGTTCCCCCTATGTTATTCCGGCACAGTATGAGCATGACAATGATGAATCAGCCCATTCAAAATTCTACCGTGCCTAAGAACATGTTATATATATATCCACCCTTTGGGAATGGCCTAAAGCAAACAAACAAGAACAAACAAACAAACAAACAAACAAAAACAACCATGGACGAGTTGACGCACTTTGCTACTATTTGTTTTAGTCCCCTAGATTCAGAATTAAAAGAGTGGGTGGTTGGAAGGTGCTCTGGTAGATTTGCTCCCTCTTTCAAAACAAACTCACCGTCGTCTCTCCTCCGTCTTTTCTTTGCACCAATATGTTCTCCTCTTGTAACTCCTAGATCTAGAATCTTCCTACTTTCCTGACGTATTTGTTGTTGGGTTCGGGTGTTTTTGTTTGTTTTTTCTTGGTAAGTGTTTTACGGCACTCGCAACTGCATAAGGTCATTTGAGCGCGCGGGACACACCTAACATTTTCAATTGGTAGGAAATTTTGAATTTTGACCAGCTGGCGGCCGAAGCCTATTCTTATCGATTTTAGACCACCAAAGGATCTTTAACGTGCGCAACTTGCGCACGGGTTCTCCGAGATTTGTCACCCTTGTCCGAGAAGGCTAGGTGCAGATCTGTCCTACCAGAAGATCAGGGGTGTGGCAGAAAGACGGCAGTAAGGAGGAGCCAAGGAGTAGCAGTAGAAAGGCTGCAGAAAGAGTCAGGAGCCCAGAGGAGGGGGCAAAGGGGGTGAGAGAGTGGGGGCAGAAACTGGAGACGAAAGCAGACGACAGAACATGACAACAGAGCAGGAAAGGATGTGAAAGGAGACAATTTTAGTAAAGAAAATTGTTCGATCACTACCCGGATTCGAACACGGGACCTTTGAATGAGGGGTCAACACCTTAATCTCTAGGCCACGACCTGTTTGTGCTGCAAGTGTCGTGAATCTCTACTTGAGTTAGAGAGAGAGGGGGGAGGAGAGAGAGAGAGAGAGAGAGAGAGAGA